AATGCACTTGGCAGCTGGATTTAAAGTAAATTATGTGACCTCAAAGTGATTCTGAGAAAAGGCTCTTAGGGTGGAGTCGTTACGTGTTACTCTCTCAGTTGGTGCTGAGCCTCAGAGCGTCACCTTGAAACAATTCGGAGGCGGTGACGTCATGTGGAGCAGTATTCGCTGCTGTGCCTGCTCGCCAAAAGGCCTTTAGCGGGATTACACTTCAGGTTTGGCAATGAAGTGGTTTCTGTGACGCCAGAAATTGAATTTTGCTATCTAACCTTTCTCCAGCCATTCAACTTGATTAAGACTCACATGGTTCCTGTTTCTTTCTATTCAGTATAATAAAGCTTTTTATTACCCACGACAATTAACTTTGCAAACTTACAGGACATTTTTTGTGGGTGGGTACGCTAAACTCAATTATGCTCAGTATTAATTTTATCTCTTTGTAAGTTTATTGGTGCGGTCCTCCAGAACAGTCCCAGTTTCTCATGTGGCCCCCTGGGAAAATTAATTGTCCACCTCTGGTCTAAAGCAACCCACAATGCTGTAGTGGTAATCTTTTGAGACTGGGTTCACTCATGCAGTAAGGACCAAGGGGCGCCTTTAAGAGTTCACATAACAAAGAAGCCTCAATTGTATGAATGTAATGACTCAGCTTCTGTGTGGAGGCATCGAGGACTATCGGAGCTCCTCTTTTAAGTGAACTGTGCTTGGTCCCTCTGGGAAGTGGCCTCTGTAACCCCTCCAATGAAACAAAATGTTCTACAGCTGCCATAAATAACAATTTAGTGGCGTCATTATAAGATGATAAAGGTATTAATGTCATGCTTTTAAATTGGGGAATACAATACTGCCTGTGTTTTGGAAGTTTTTCTTGTTTATGAGCCTTCTTCACACATGATCTCAGATCATTTTGAGAGAATAAGTTTTTTGTATAGTTGCAACACACAAAGCAGGAAATAATCTGATGCAGATGGCTTCACAATGCTGGGTGTGGTTTAGATACAGGTGCTCCCTGGGTAGAGTGTGCATCCAACCACTGGCGGGTAACACACTATGCTGTTACGTGTGCTATCCAACATTACAAAGACTTTGTGTTCAGGATCTGGCAGTGTAAAGACCAGCTAACGTCCACTATGACTTTTTTTGTGCGTTTGCATCCTCACACTCAGCTGAAAAAAACGTTCTTGTAAAGAGCTGCAGTGGAAGTGAAGCGCAGCTGTAGATGTGGTTAAGAGCTCAAAATTTGTTTAATAAAATTATTTTTGACACTTACGTTGAAAACTTTGAAAAACTGAAAAATATGAAAATAAGTCCTTCTTAATTTTTATTCAGTGTACGTTTCCTGGGGGCAGAATTGGAAGTAACACACAAACTTCAAACAGGACATTAGAATAATTTCATGTTGGTATCTTTTTTTTTTTTGCCTGTCCTGTTTGGATCTTTAGCCATCAGAACTGTTGTCTGAAGGCCCAGAAAGATGCCAAGTGGATTTACTTTACCAACTGGATCATCATGGCCTTGCCATATTGGTCCATTTGATTGACCTTTATTATAATTATGTATTTATTTGATTTGATTTTCCAGTTGTTACAGACGGGACAGACATGACTGGGGGATAGGACAGGGAGAAAGAATGAAAGAAAGAGAGGGAGAGAAAGAAAAATAGAGGGGAGACGAGATGGTGAGAAAGGGGGGAAGAGAGAGAAAAAAAAAGAAAGAAACACAAACAAAACACCTGGATCACCTGTATGGGGATAAGAAAAAACAGATGAGAAAACAAACAAAACAGAGCAACATAATAAATACAACATCATCACAATAAACTAGCTAACAGTAGATAACAGTAAATAC